CTATATACATTATTATAGTTCGGATCCTAAATTAAAAAAAAAAAATTAAAAAAATATTTAAAAATTTTAATCAAAAAATATTGGGTCATTCGCCATAAACCATAATAATTAATATGCGTATAGTATATATACAAATATTGAAATATGTATAGCAAAGTTGTATGCATTAAGCCATTAAACTATTTTTCAATAACCACCATATACCTAGCTAGTTTTATACAACAAATAGGTTTATGATCAAAAATATTTTTATTTGATRACTTTCGCGTTGATATTGATTACAGTTTAATACGTTTAAATACTAGGAATATAAATAGCCTGAAACTTCATGTTCATAATGTAAATATCAAAAATATTTAAAATTTATAGCATGATAAAACTTTTTTAAATAAAATCTGCATAAATAATTTTAAATTTATGAAATAAACAATAATAAAAAATATAATAGATTACAAAAAAATACAAAACGTTTATATTAATGAACTGTGTTACTATTGTTTTAATCGGTTTATCAATTAATTCCACTAATGCAAGACATAATATTATTTAATCGTCCCATCCATCATATTCTTTTGTGCTCCGTTGTGTTATTATATGAATATACTACATACTACATAGTACATATATATATACAGTTTGTATATTAACATGTATAAAGTCATTTCACATCTTCAATTATTATTTTTTTCTCCGTTTTTCTTTCAGTTTTAATCATTTTTCCTCTCGTTTTTTTATCATCATTTAAAACAGTAATTGTCATGAAAAAAAACCAATTCAGTTGGTCGGTGAAATTATGGTTTTCATGTTTTCGCATAATACACGTGTATATATTTTTCTCTGGAGATTCCTGCAGAACCCTTCGATATAACATTCATAAATACACCACGTGCGCATATTATTTTTACAATAAAGATTATAACACCGAACGGATAGATTCCTGATACATTATCCATATCCTATTTTATATGGAATAAGACATAAGTCAAACGACATAAGAAACTATATAATATGCGACACTGCACGCGCATACAACATATTATACTAGGTACTCAATGATTATACACAAATATTATATCGTAATACCTAACTATATACGAACGAGCGTCTAACTATAAATGCATAATAAACGTAACAAATTTTTAATCTTTAATTTTTTGAACATAAATTAGATGTTAGCGAGTATATAATTCAAAGTAATACATACGTAATTGGCTGTATTTAATTTCATGTATTTATTCTATTTATTATATATATTTATAAATATTATTGCAGTGTACAGGTACCTAATACTCTTTTACTTCATCATTGTTATAATGTAGGTTTTGGGTCTTATCATATACCTACGTATACGGTAGAATATACGCGCCTTCTACGGCCCCTATACACACACACACACCCATCGAACCGAATGTTGGGTAATTTGTCTCTGGAAAAAACAATCGATAACTTACAATTCGTTTGATTGCGGTGGTGGCGGCGACAGGACGCACTTAGACCAAAAGACATTCACTGTATACGTGTATTGCAGGGTTTACATACATAGATATAATGGCTGTGTTCGAGGAGAGCTCGCAGAGCAAAACTTATATATTTATTATTTTTTTATCGAGTGCGATGTATATACTCAGTACACACAGACGTGTTGTTCTACCTATATACACTTTTCGCCTGAAATTTCTTTGACTCTTGATGATCAACTGTATATATATATATAATGACTCTTACACGTAAAGAATAAACGCTAACTATATAATATATAGACATATAGTAATCCGCCGCAAAGTTGTCTGTTGTTGTGCGTCCTTATCGGATTCCAGTCGCGACTTGTAAACGGATTTTTCTCGTTTGCCAGTTTATTGACGATGGGCCGATTGACCGTCGTCGAATCGTTGTAATTCCGTTCCAATAAAATGGATAATATCTGTCCGACGATCTACGATTACCTTCTTAACTATTTTTATCTTTGAGGMAATGACAAAGGTATAGAGATAATTTGACGTTTTTATATATACATCATAGGCATGCGCGCAGGGGACCTATATATATTATAAACTTTCCTTCCTTTCAACCGATAATCTGACGCGTAGGTAATATATATTTGTAAAATACTCATCATATGCTTTTGGACCAAAATACCAAAATAACAATAATGACCGTGGTACCTCTGGTACCTTCAGCTATGATAATTATCATGACCAGTATCAATTATCAAAGCAGCAGCTGCATTGCCTGCACTGCTGCGGCGAATTGCACTTGTCCGAAAAAATGATAAGACATAATTAAAAACCATATTAAGATTTAAGTCATTCTTCGCCTCAGACTGGCACGAACTTCCAGTCACAGTGCCATTATTAAAAACAAATAGCCCCCTCTGATGGCAACTTTTATCTAGCCYTAGGCACGTGCCTACCCTGCCTATACGTTAATCCGGCACTGCTTTTGGTGGACCAAATAGATAGAATACAAAAATTTGGTATTCAAGTTTATTCGTTTTGAATGTATAGGTATGACATAAATACAATGTAATAAATAATATACAATACGATAAAATAATGTACATAATTATGTAGAACATGAATACTTGTATAATACATTCTATTAAATATTATCTGTATTTCAGTTTTAAATTAATACAAAACAATGAATTTAAAATGATTGCTGCARTTAAAATGTATAGTTAATAGTCCGTAAAATCAAGGCAAAAATAATAATATAACAAGTATAATGWTAGGGAACTTAAATTTCAAATTTGGATTAATTGGCGTTGAACTTTTATAATGATACTTTGCAAACTTGCTTATGTTATAACATCATGAYAGATATCATCTAAAMCGTTTTAAATATGTATCTTTCAATACCGAGCATACTATTACGRCCCCAATAGGTGATGTGCATTACATGCGAATGAATGCCCATCACGATATTGTGTATTTACGAGGAATATAYTTTATACTTCCACAAACACACATCGGTGACTGTGATATAAATATAACCACAGCAGTATACAATTTATTTTTAAATTACGCACATCATAAATTGTATATTATATATATATTATAATTTATATTATATTTATGTGTATTCGAGTATACGAGTGTTATGCGAATATTATTACGACTCGGTGAGTATAATAATACAATACATTAATATGTGTGAGATTTCTGAAAATGTTTATGGGCATATAATATCTTAATATATGTACAGTATATACTATCATTTATCACGGGTGTTACGCACAAGCATTTATATTACTTTATAATAATATAATATTTATAATGTAATAACTTATATGTATAGACGTATAGTAAATACTAAAATATGTTTCGAAAGGAGTCAAACGGATGTTATTATATTATTTTAAATGTGCTTAAATATAATATGACTGTATTTAATAYAAATATAATGTTTATAAATTAAGTATATTTTAGTATGATATGCTCTATAAGTATATATTATATATGTATATTACCATATGCGGCGGCGCGACAGCGATAATATACGGATGACGAAAATATACGAGTAATATATTATACTAAGTTTGTTGATACAAACCTTTGAAACCGATAAGTTTATCTATGTATATAATATAACGACGAAATTCGACCTCGCTATAGTGTTAAGTATGTTATATTTGACAAAAAACAACATACCAAATAATTGGTAAACATACCGGCAGGAATTATTGAACTGATTTGTTTTTAATTTTGCCGCCATAATATAATCGTTCAGCAATAACAGTTCAAATAAGTATCTCAGTCAATATGAAATTCTAAAATGTAACTACTAAAAAGTGTTCAAAGTTTAATACTCTGCTCTAATATCAAAAGTGTGTTGATAAGATCTCATCATAGATTTTTACATTAAATGTTCGTCCTGTTAAGAAGTTTTTGATAAAGTTGAAGAGGTTGMCATTAATTTTCCACGAGTGGAGTATTGTAAGCACTCTTTTTTTTCACACAGTGTCGTACGCTTTTGAGATGTCCTATGTGCTATTGTAATCACTATATTATATAATATAATAACGTCTTCTGCTTTTTATTCTTCAATCCCACAAGACGTCATCATATCGGCACCAAGTCCATATAATATAACAATATAATCATGTCCCCAAAATGATATTTCATCAGTRTAATAATAAATAGGTACAACTTATGATACAACATACGAGTGTATAATATATTATATATATATATGACGATTATGACGTATTATTGATGTATATATGTATATAATATAAGAATCGGAATAAATCTCTCTTTCGTGGCAGGAAAAATATGACGAAACCTTTCTTATAGATGCATAGTGCATATACTATTATTATATAACAATGCATCCAGATTATTATATTTTTCCTATTCGACTCGGCAGCGTTCGTCTGTCCGTTTGGCATTTCCGGCGTTCGTGAAAAATAATCTCATATAGCGTGCACTGTTTCATATATATATATAATATATATTTGTGTAAAAATACACCCTCGCCATTAAATCAAACTATATATATAGGTATAATATTATACGGTGCACGTGTGTGTAGTTGTTATTAAAGGTATATAGTTTTTCTTTATTATTGTGTATGTACCGACCGAATCGAAATGTAGCCCGGTGTAGTTACGCACCTTTTCTAGTATAGGTGTACCCACTCGTATATATTTTGACGATTCTACTAGAAATGGTTCTAGCAGGGTATATTTTTTATAACGATATTATACACAATATACACAAACTATTCCATTTCAACAGTTATTTTCTACAACGAAAAGTACGAAATACGGATACTTTTTACAACAAATTAAGTTTGTTGAAAAAAAAAATGCTACACCTATTTATAATTATGTGTGATATACATATAGGTAATGGTATCCTTAAAGAATCAAGACTTTATTAAAAACAACCTTTCAAATCACATGAAATGTATTGCATATTATAACACATAATGACAATCATAATATTATCCTGGTTTAAATTCATGATTACTTATGTATTTATTTTTATTTTTACAGACAATGGCACCCAAAATCATGTTACTGATCACTTTGTCAGTTGCGTCAGTCGTGCTAGTCTCCACTGCATCCCCACCGTTCGTAAGTAAATATTATATACTTGTGCCATGTATATGTTTAATTTATATTATTTATATATATATATATTATAGACCGTTTAGAAGTAATAAAAACCTCCCGTCTGTCAAAAAAAAAAAATCTATATTTTAAAAACATGCACCACGGGGGAATCTTATTTAAATTTTAATTGCCTTAGAGGCGACCAACTAATATTAATGATAATAATTATTATTAATACCTCCACCGTGGCGGCATATAGTTCATCACGTTTTCCAAACGAACCTCCTATTTTTCTCGACGTTAAATCATTTTCATATAAACATTTAATTAATCGTAATTCATAATTTATGTAGGTGTGTACCTATACGGCTATACCTTTTTATATWTTACGCGTACCTATATATTTAATATAGTAAAATATATACACATTATATTATGTGTAATAGAAAAATAATTATCGTTGGCTACTGTTGTGCTAAGCGCTGTATATTATATTATTATTAAGTATCGCGGCTGTAAAAACGCCGACGGAATCGTATATAATATATAGAGTGTTACCGGTTTACCGGGTATACGCGTAGGGAAATAAACAAAATAAAATAAAATAACGATTCGCTGAAAAACGACGACGGATCCGTAAAAATATTGAACCGTCCGTTATATTATTATTATTACCATAACATATAATATATTATTATATTATGACGTACACGTGTTCGCCTCAAAGACCAGATCACGTTTTGAAATGCACTTTATAGTATAAAATAATATAATATTGGCCGCCGACGGGTGTGAATTTGACATTGAATACCATTAGGTTGGCCGGCAGTGTATATTGCGTACCTCTATAATATACATTTATAAGCCTATACATCATGTATACTTATTATACATATATGCCATAGCGGTGGTGGTGAAGTAAATATGTAGCGGGAGGAGTAACTCTTTTTTTATGAGAATCATAAAATTCCATTATTTCGATATTAAAACACATTATATGATTATGTATCTTGATAAAATATTAACTCAAACTGAACCCAACCACTCCGCGTGTAAAAGAGGATGGAAATTTCATGGTGTCATTAATAAGCACCATTCGCGGGCACATCAACATTTTAAATCTTTTAAACCATCCGTRCCGGTGTAAGGGAAAATCGCAACGACGCCATCATTATATTACTGTAAACTATTTCAATAAAATATTTAACGTCCCGATAGATATTTTGATTCTTATTCAACATTCAAATGCATCATACCTGTTACTACATTAATAATAATAATAATCTGAACGCACGGCAGTGCACCAGGCCAAGTTACAGCAATGCCAGTGTATCTTTACACGAACCAATTCGCCCTTTTTTTCTCTGTTTCCTCTTAAGATAAACTTTTTAAATTTAAAACACAGATTAGCCTCTAGTAGCTTAGGACGCTGTAAAAAAATGAGCCCTTAATATTGTGCCATTTCAAAATGGCAGRATTTCAAAATTTGCAATATTGTTACTGACTCACTCACTGATCATCAAAATTATAAGACACTTCCCGTATAGATAGAAACGTGAAATTTGGCACAAAAGTAGATTTTACAGTGTAACTAAAGAGAAAAATCTAAAAATTGATTTTTTCTCAAAATGAATGCCTCTCCAGAGTGTGTATTAATATGGTAATAACAAATTGTTTGTATAGTTGACTTATATATATATACATATATACATATATATTTATAAAACATAATCATGTTTTCGTACATTTATTTTATTCAAATACAAAATATAATATACTCATACAAATACAGAATATATTTATAATATTCGTCGGTTTGCGATCGATAATTTTACGTGCAGATAACGTCACAAAAAACATTGATGACAAATCGCATAATGCAAACTCTTACGACGCTGAAGCCAGCAAAAATAAATGATATCCCCAACAAAAACATAACAGTGAAAAAAGGCCAAGTTCCAAACTCCCTCCCAAAAAGTCGGCCTATCAAAGTAGTGAAATCTACTTTGTGGCCAAGTCTGCTATTTTTTAATTCATAACCTCAATGCACTCCTACATTAAAGAGCAACACTTCTCTTTTWTTTATATTGTTTAACACTTGGCCAGTTTCTGAATGAGGAATAAAACATCATTATCGAATGTGCTCACTTATGACTTASGAGGGTGATGGGGAGAAGAAGATTCAGAAAAAAGTAAAAGGTTTAGATTTCTTCTCAAAAAAGACAGCGAATCACAGTAAGTAGTGGTATCTACATTGCGGTCAAGTCTAGTTTATTTCTCATTCAGAAACTGACCAAGTCTTAAACAATTCAAATAAAAGAGAAGTGTTGCTCTTTAATGTAGGAGTGCATTGAGGTTATGAATTAAAAAATAGCAGACTTGGCCACAATGTAGATTTTACTACTTTGATAGGCCGACTATTTGGGAGGGAGTTTGGAACTTGGCCTTTTTTCACTGTTATGTTTTTGTTGGGGATAAACTATACGTTATCGGTTGGTATACTGATAAAGCAATAAATAAAATACTTGGAAACAAATAATGGTACATATAATATAACTGTTWAAACACCATAGACTGCACGATGATAAAGTATTAATATTTTTGTAGTTAATGAATTGTGAAAATCTAAAAATTAATTTTTAATGGAATTTGAAACTCTTGTTACCTATCTACTCTAAAACATGTAAAAATCTCCCATAAATTTACTGTTTTTCAATTTTTGATTTCATGTGGCTGGTTTTCTGCTATATTGCTTGAATACCTTAATAGTAAATTTAATATTTTAATGTATGTAATATATCTTACCTACCTATTTTCATATGTGAGGTATATGACATATGTGAAATAATATCAAATAATATGATCAACTCGAAGTTTTAAAATATGTGTGTACTAAACTACTAACGTTATTGTGTTATCTATTATRATTATTATAAACGAACCAAGTTTTAAAAAAATGAAGTGGTTCAACAAAAAAATAGTAATGGGAAAAAATATAATATAATTATATGGTTGGTCATAATATAATATATGTGATGAAACTAAAACGTACCAAAACGTATAATAAATAACTTTTTACCTAAAACATAATCCATTACATACTTGTTTAGTTAGGTATAAAGTATAGGTATACGAGAATRTTATTTAAAGTCATGAAAAGCAGCTCTTTTTTCACTCGTGCTTATAAAGATTTTCTCATTGGATATATTATATTTTCTCCAAACTATACGTCGAAACACAAACCATATAGATTATAGGTACTATAATGCTWTTTTTCTATTGAATATGTATATATGTACCATGTACGTCGTTTGTATGTATATTGTGTATATAATTATACGATTCGTCGTATATGTCCTAAAAGCTATATTATATATTTAGGTGACCGTCCGCACCTGTGTAGTGTGTATATTTACATAGTATATTGTTGTAATAAATAATAAATGCATAAATGATTATCCTTAAAAATTAAAACACACCGTAATAACACAATACGATTATATACATGTACCGGGTCACTGGGTATATACCATACAGATAAAAGGTCGCTTTATTTTACTATTTCTTTCCATGACAGCATAATTTATTTTGATCTACTATCCACGTGTAAAAAGTGGTAATTTCTTTACTACTTACAGTGGATGTTGAATAATTTATGTGAGAAGCCGGAGCTACAATAGTATTAGGTGTACCAACCCGCATATAATAATATGTATAGTAGTTTATAATATTATAAAAAGCGAAGCGCTTTCTGAAAGTAACAAGGTGGGCCGTGTTAATGGATTTTTCTTGCAATTATATAATAGAGTGTAATACAAGAATATCAATTAAGAACTGCGCGGTAAACTTGTATAATTTTTAGATGTGTAGGTATATACATACCTATATATTATAAAATGTGCTACAATATCATAATGTAAAAGGTAGATACGTATTTTAAAATACAACACACGTGGCACGTGGTACTTAATTTGTAAGATTCATAATAAAATAGCAGTAAGATTTTTCGTCGAACATTCCAGTTTTGATATACACTGGCACGTTGCAAAACTGTCGACGAGTCTCCGCAATTCAAAAACGGACTGCGAAACGAACTTAAAAATATTAATAATTCACTATGTGACTTTTGACGGACGCCTAGTCGCGATGCCATGAAAATATTATAATATGATGTTACATGATAACGTTTAAAGTCATTCGCCGAGATTAATTTATGTTCATGGGTGACGGGTGTGGTTTTTACCAGAGACCACCGTTGGCGCCAATGGCACATATTACAGACACACAACGAACCGACTAAAGAATACAACGGTTTTTCWAAGTGGTTTCTTCGCGGCCGACCAGCATCTATCGACCTGCAATGTTTTATTTTATGATCTCATGTAGTTTTGGCCGTTTGGATTTCATCGTATTGCGATTATATATATGTCACATACTCACATAGTTATATGTCCAATACCCTGGAGAGACGCGCTTATACGAATGTGTATATATATAGTCATAGAAGTACAATAGTATGAACATTTTTTTTCTGATTTGATTTTGTCTAGAAAAACAAAACATTAGTTTAACTCTAACGTCTCAGATGTACACTCGTATATGTCGATCGACGATAATATATCCGAAATATATCGGACGGGGACGAGTAGAATCACCGCTTCGGTCAAAAACGGAAATGAAAACGTGTCGAAACGATTACCCACCACGTCCCTCCATATTCATGGCTATTCTATATTACATTATATAATAAAGTTTTGCTGACGTTTTCACAAGTCTCACCTAAATATAGGGCACAAATATAAGGTGTCAACAACTAACAAGACGGTATGAAACCAAGCGTATATAGGTATATTGTATACACGTTGTTATTCTGTCTCGAGATTCTCTACCGGAAATGCGCGAGCGATCCAATCGATATATTCCATAAACGGAAGACGGTTTCTTCACCCTTGTTCTCGAGAACAACCTTGTGAGATACCCACAGGACACGGCGATGATTGAACGGTGATGGCACACATTCT